GTTAGGGCCAGCCCTGCCCCTCTCATCTGCTGTCCACAGCTGGCTTCCGCGGGGACTCTCCTGATGGAAAGTTTCTACCAGTAAGTAACCACAACTCTGCTCAAGCCGGATGAGTGACTTTTGTTCTAAACTTAGGGCAGCGTGCGTCTGAACTGAGTATGATGTTGATGATTCAGTGAGGACCTGTTTTGCTCTGAAACACTGTACCCTGCCAGGGGCACACTGCAGAGCTGTTCAAAAAATTGCTTGGATGCGTAAGTGTGAGAAAGTTACTGAAAAGCAGGACCAAAAACAATGCCTCAAATTCTGTGGAACAGCAAGTGAAGGAAATTTGCTCTGTGGTTGCTAAATTTAATCCAAATCAACCTCTTCTTCCAAGCAGTCAAGCAGCAATACCCAGATTGTCTGTGACAACAGACACACGAGTTAATTACTGCCGCTCGGCAGTCAGCTGCCACAGAGCTCCCTAGCCAGTTATTTTGTGGTGGGCTGCGACACAAATGCATTTCTATATCGTTTGTGACTTTGTAGTATGTTCCATCTCTTACTGCCTGATGTCTGGGTTTAATGGCATGAACAATGCCTGGTATTCATAAATCAGTCGTAACAGAACTGCCAGGAGAGGAAGGGAGTTTGGGCCTATTACCTTTACAAATCCTCAAATTTTTAATGTGATTCCCTTGGAAACCACCAGATTTGGTGTGACTAGCCAATGAGCATGGCCCGGCTCGAGATTCCCTCTGCCTAGTGCACTCGCTACCTGCTGCCTGGCACAAACAGCTTGGTTCTGGAATTTTCGTTTCTGGAATAGCATAAAGGACAGAGTGCTTATGTGCATTTGTGAGATATACGCTGAAGGTACTGGCCTGAGAAAATGGACACATGTGGCCTGTGACATTCCTGATGGAAAGCTGGAAGGGGGGATTTACCCAGTTGGAAAGAGGGCTGGCGGGGCAGTACATGGAGATCCTCCTCCCTCTCCCCTTTCCTCCACGCTCATGTACTTTTGGTGACACTCACTGTCTCCAGGGTACTTGCCTCCATTGTTTTTCCTCAGTAAAACATGAATTTAAATTACTAAGTAAAGGAGGAAGTGAAAAGGAAATTAACATTTAGTTAATATCTATTCTTTGTTAGGGAATAAGCTAAGGTTTTAATACATTATTTCATTTAATCTCCCATCAAGCTGAGGTAAATTAATCACTTGCCCAGGTCACAGAGCTGGTCCAGAGCCAAGCTGAGGCAAGGGTTTAGGAATGACTTGGTCCATGATTTCCAGTAAATCCTTCTGGTTAAGTTTTAAAGTGTGTACTTTCAATAATTGCCTAAAGTTGGCAGGAGCTAGCAGGGAAAAGTTCTCTCCTGAAGTCGTATGTTTGAGGCCCTGGCAGGCCAAGCCCTCTCTGGTGTTTTGGACCCTGGCAGTCTGAAGTTCTGGAGCAAGCAGTCTTCATATTGAAAATACGTTGGTTCCAAAGCTTTGAATACATTTTTGGGTAGAAACAATAATATGCCATGCATGATGTCCAGCTTCCTGCTTTTGTCCACAAAACCTGCATTATTTGCAGGAAACTTGAGGACAGGGCCAGCAGTCCCGCAGAACTGCCCTTCTGTGCACTGATGTTTCCACAGCAAAAGAAATGCGACCACTGGTTCCAGAAAAGGTCTGCTGACTCCAGGGTCTTAATTTACAGTGTAACTGGGGAATCCCATCCTAACTCCAAGCCAGAGCAGTAATGGGGGACTCCCCACAAGATAGAGGATATGAGGGAGTACAGTGAGGAGGAGGAGGTGAAGAGCGGGGGGTTGGGGTGCATGCCCATGAGCTGGAAACCTGGAGTACAGGGCACCTTGGAGACGAGGCCCCATGAGCAAGTGTGCCTCCTCCTTTCTCTCTTTTATTTTATTTTATTGAGAAACAAATAGCAATGAGACAGTTTCAAAACTGATTAATAGGACAGTTTCAATAATTAATACACTGTTATCTTCTTAGTGGCTATCCATAGTACAAGCAGCAGACAGGATATTCTGTCCTTTTTCTTTCTCTGTCTGAGGCCCAGATAAAGGTCTGCTGACTCCAGGGTCCTATAACTTCCTGGCACATTCCTCTGGGAGACAGGGTCTTGCCTTAGTTCTTCCTTTAGTTGTTGTTTTTGAGACAGGGTCTCTCTATACATGCAACTCAGGCTGGCTTTGAGCTCACTTTGTAGCCCAGGCTGGTCTCGAACTTGTAACAATCCTCCTGCCTCTGCTTCCCCAGTACTGGGGTTACAGGAGTGTGCCACCATGCCTGGCTTTTTTTTTTTTTTAACAGAGAGGAACTTTATTATTAAGAGAAATAATAACAAATAGAAACAAATCCTGAAACCTTCCAGTGTTTGACTACAGTTGCTGCACACTACCCCTGCACTCACTCTGTAATCCAAGCTGCTTTTAGTTCTTAAGTGTTGGAACCGTGTGTGTGCTCTGCTCAGCAACATAGAGCAATTTTTAAAAATATAGATGTGACCATGTTAAAAATGATCTGCTTCTAGCCTACAGATTAAGAACCTTCTGCTCACTCTCTTCTGGATTTGGCAGACTGATCCCAGGGCCTTCACACAGATACACAACCCCAAATTTTTCTAAAAAGTTTTGAGACAGGGTTTTGTTAAATCACTGATTTGCCCAGGTTAAACTCAAACTAGAGATTCCCTTGCTGCCACCTCCCAGAGTGTGGTGATTACAGGCACATGCCACCACTCCTAACCAAGCCTTTCTGCTTTGAATCAGAACAGGATCCTCTGAGTCCTGCCCCACCTAACTCCCTGCCCATCTCTCTCCACACCTTGTGCCTCACACCTTCAGTTACAACAACCTGAGCTGCCTACCCATTCCAAGCAGGCCCTGTGCCGCTGCAGCTCCGGAAGCCTGCCTTCAGCTGCCGACCCATTTGACATGCTTTTTGGCAGCTCTCCATCATCTTCTAAGACTCAGTTTGAGATTATTTCCTGATGCTCTGCTTGACCCCCAGGTCAGATGGGCATATGCCCCCATGTTCCTCTGTGTTGCGTGCAACATACTTAACCCCCCTATAAGTTGGTCTCATAGATCCACAAGACTCCAACCTGCTTCTGGGAGAGTTTCATGGCTCATTTACCTGTGCATCCCAGCACACACCACAGTCCCTAGCAGGATCTCCGAACTTAAGCAATGAACGGAGCAGGACAGGATCCACCTCATCCTGAGTGGGTGCCCTCCAGGCCAAGGTGCTTATTCACCAAGCTGCTGGGAGCCCTGGTCGCTGATATGTGACAACAGGGTCCCTCCTTAAGCACTGCCTATGGCTGAAGAGAGCTGCTGTGTGCAAAACCACAATCTCCTCCAGCACAGTCATTTCCAGGAGCTGGTCACAATGGGGGAAGGCACAAAAGTGAGGTCCCCCCACGTGCCACTGCCAAGCCAACTTAGAACTCTCTGAACTCCGGAGGAGGCTCCTCCTACATCCTACACAGCTCACCTCTTCCCTCAGGCCACGTTGCCTCCTGACTCCCTCTCAGGCTTTGCTCCCTAAATAGCCCCTCAGGAAGCTCCTGCTTTCCAAGCTCCACACAGAGCCTGTTCCCAGGGATCCTCGCCCACCACAGACCTGCTGTTTCCAAACTGACCTGAGACAGAATGCGTTTCCCAGCCTTAGTGTTTGCTGCGGTTTAGATATGGTTGGAGTACATCCTCAAAAGCTCATGTGCTGGACTCCCTGTCCCTGCTGTGGTGATGCAGAAGGTTGGAGGTGGCACAGGCCTTCTGATATGGGAGGGAATTACATCTCTGTGGCAAGTCTTGGAAGGAATTTAGATAGTTCTGGTGGGGCCTGGGTTACTTCTTATGAGATCGGGCCTTACACTTTTATAAAAATGAGCCTAAACTGGGGATTGTTGCCTTCCTGTCTGGTGATGTAATCTTTTGCTCTTTTGTGTGCTCTGCCTCTCTCTCTCTCTCTCTCTCTCTCTCTCTCTCTCTCTCTCTCTCTCCACACACACACACACACACACACACACACACACACACACCACACTATCACCACTGCTACACTGCCTATCCTGCTTCCAGTATTTCACAACATAACACAACGACATACAAATAATATGCTCTTTGACACTAGAAGCAAGTGATCTTTTCTGAGGGGCTTTTGTTGGTTTTGACAGTGGAGAAATGCACAGGATAGAAAAGGATTTAAGTGTGCAAAGGACCTAAATGGTGAATCTTATTGTAGATAGAGATCAGCTAGCAGCTCAAAGGCAAGTTCATTGCTGGGACGCCACTGTAGCGCCTGTGATGAGGTGAAGACCAGAAGAGTCCTCTGGGCGCAGAGGAGGAGCGCCAGGAGGATGGGGTGGGGGATTACAGTGCCGAAGCACTTTCGGTAACTCCGCCTACTTGCTCTTCTTCTCAGAAAGGAGACCGGAAGTGGAAGCTCTGTGGAGCATGGAGGTGGGGCGGGAAGCTTCCCTGGGAAGCCAGGTATAACCCGGGAATACAAGGAGGATTATAAGGGCTGGGGAGGCGGAATAAGCGCTTCCCTGGCAAGCGCAAGGGCCTGAGTTCAATCCCAAATGTAGGTCCCTCTTTGAGATGAGCTGGAAAGGAGGTGGAACTGGGCATCCCAGGTAACAACCACTTTCAGGAACAAGGGGAAGAAAATTCCCGGGTGTAGCAGAGGCTGCAGGAAAGAAACTCCTGGGAGCCTCAGGCCTACTGAGTGTGTCAGCAGCTCAGTAATAAGCCTGTGCAAGAGTTCCAGTTCAGGGAAACAGAAATGGAGGTCCATCTGTAGTGTTAAAATTAAAAGTTATTTGGTTTTTTTTTTTTTTTTTTTAAAGACGCCTTAATTACCTTAGTGGTGCTTCTTTTCCTGTCCTTTTTTCCCTTTTCCAGTTGAAACAGATAGCCTTCGGAATTGCTGCGAATGATTTTGACCTGGTTCGTTTGGTTTCTCTCTGAACTGAGTTGGGATTCACTTTCCACCCTGGACAAGAGGGGTGGAAGTGTGACCCTGGATGAGGACCCCTCCCGGGGCTGCACCTCGGCCAGCTGCACCAAGGCTTGTTGGTGCTGCTCCATGATTTGGGCGAGCCGGGAATCCGGAGATGCTCTAGTAGGCTGGCTGTATGAGGAAGAGTGGAATTTCCTTTGGGAAAAAAACCCCAAAATTGTTATTAATCTTGAACAAACAAGACCTTGAGCATGAATGTCTTCACAAATCATTACTTTTTATATTTATCACTTTTGGAATATCAAAGTAACGACCTCAAACTTAATCATAAATATAGTAATTTTTTATGTTAAAATCTCTTCTTTTTCTTTAAGATATTCCAATCTTCTTCTTAGTGCACTTAGAATAGAAAAAACACCCCACCGTTTTGAAAAGTCAAAGACCTTCCACTACTAAATTTCTACAAGTGTTAGATTAAACATACATCTTTTAAACACATAGTTGAATTTATAAAAGAGGCAAAGAATTTCCAGGGGTGGAAAACAAAGTGCAATTAAAACCAAACGAGATTTTGTATGAGGTGAAGCTATGGCTTTCTTTGTGGGATTTTTGGATCTAAGATCTTAAATTTTAGCACCTAATCCTGGCACAAGGTACGTGAGATTTTGGCCCCATGTAAGGCCAAAATCAGAAGAATCAGAAACTAAGACTCTTGAATAAAGGCTAGCATCCTTGAAATGGTAAATCCTCAGTAGTGGGTTACCTAAGACCCCCTACAATGAAGAACAATGACTCTTCAGTGACAATGACCACACAAAGCTCCTAAATCTTGGTTCCTTACTTCCATGGAAAGGAATACATAGAGAGGTGACTACTTCCCATGGCTCAGGGAAGGTCAAAGGTGAGCCCAGGATATAGTGTTTTGCCAGAAGCCAAAAATACTCAAAGGCAAAAAATGGTACGTTTAGCGGACACAGGAGGGCTGGCGAGATACATGAGAGGACTAAGCGCATGCTTAGGCAACTGCAGGGACTGGGTTTTGATCCCAGCGCCACATATAGGGCTGGCCCAGCCCCCTGGTGCATTGAGCCAGCCACTGAGACGGGGTGTGGTGGCACACACCTGTAGTCCCAGCACTGGGGAGACTGAAAACAGGATCACTATGAGTTTGAGCTGCATAGCGAGACCCTGTACCAAATACATTAAAAAAAAGGACACAGGACTTGGCAAGAAGGGGCTCCTATTGCTCAAATCCAAGATGAGAACACAGTATATTGGTAATAATAGATTGTAACTTTTTTTTTTAAAAAGAGAGTCACATGAATAAGATCACCCTAAACTACATATCAAGATTCTGACTCAAAAAAATAGAGATCCATAAATCCACAATGAGACTAAAAAAGACTGAGAGGAGAAAGAAGAGGGAAAAAAATCTATTTCTACAGAATTCCATGTAATTAATGTTGAAATATTTGTAGAATTATAAAACCAACCTTTTGTAATCTCCAATGAATGATTTAAGGGAGGACTGTCAGTGGACCCTAAAAATAACTGTATGGAAGTGGGTGGGACATCAAATGTTTAGACTGTCTTAAATATTAATTATAAAAAAGAAATCCCACCATTATAATGGTGAGAGATTGAGTGGTCTTTACCTTAGCCATGAGATCTCACTTAGTAATCCCCAGCAGCATGACACTCCACAGTATGTGCCTCCTGACACAACGCGGTACAAATCATACCGAGCCAGGCAGTGGTACACACTGGCAGTCCCATCTACTCAGGGGGCTGGGCAGAGGGATCACAAGTTTGAGGCCAACCTGGGCAACTGGGCAAGTCCCTGTCTCAAAATAAAAAGGACTAGGGACGTAGCCCAGTATGGGAATAAGTAAATAAAAAACAAATAAATAAACTAAAATATTAACAACATAAAGAGACACATACAAACATGACATATACCAGATCACCTATATAGTATTTTTTCCAAAAAATTTTAAATTAAAAATAATGAGAAAACACATTTTTATAAAGACTGAAAACAAGCACAGGGATTGAAGAATTTGTTCTACATTTTTAAAAAAATTAGACACAAAAAAGTAAATGTGATAAATGAATGTTGATAGATTTCAGGATCAGATAATAAGAACTCATCTATAAAAGACAGTTTTAGAGCCAGATGCACTGCTGTGCACCTGCAGCACCAGCTGCTCAGGAAGTTGAAGCAGGAAGATTCCTTGAGTCCAGGAGTTCACAGCCAGCCTGGGCAACAGAATGAGACCCTCTCTCAAAAACAAAACAAGGCAAAACAAAACAAAACAAAACACAAGAGCTATAGAAAGGATGGAAGCTAAAATTGAGAAATGCAGAAAGTATAGCAAAATTACAAACAAATAAGGAACATGAGAGAAAAGATAATAAGAACTGTCCTAAACATTCTGGGAGGCTGTGACAGAAGGGTCACAAGTTCAAGTCCTGCCTGGGTAACACAGACACTTAGTAAGATCATGTCTATAAAAAAGAAAAACTCCCAAAACCCCAATGTAAAACAAAACCCCCAAACAAAAACAAAACAAACAACCCCCCAAAATAAAACAGAAAAATTTTGAAAGGTCTGAACCTAGGCAAGGCACCTAAGTTCCATCCCCAGTAACAGACAGACAGAGAGACAGAGAGACAGAGACAGAGAGACAGAGAGACAGAGAGACAGACAGACAGACAGACACACACATACACACACACACACACACACACACACACACACACACACACAGTCCTAGAAGAATATATCTGAGTAACAAGGGTTTCTAGGAACAGCAAGCAGAGAAGATGATTGGAAGAAATGATTCAAGAGATGATAGATATTCAAGACATCTTCCTAGAATTATGAGACCCAAGTTTCTGGAATAAGGTGGAATATGGTGGCTTCCTATTTCTCAACCACAACACTGGAGGGAAGACGACAGTTCTAGGGGAAAATTATTTCCAAACTGGAATTCTACAAGATCCTGCTAGCTATCCATCAGGAATGAGGGCAAAATAAACACGAGGTCTCAAAGCATTTACCTCCTCAGCAGTGGAGAAAGTTCTTATCCTAAGTAAGAGAGGAGTAGATAAGGAAGAGGGCCTGTGACAAACAGAAGAAAAGGAACTTTCTTTCTTTCTTTCTTTTTTTTTTTTTTTGTCTACAGTGGAAAAGGAAAAGAGAGAAAGAGAAGGAAATTCATTTGAAGTATTCTGTGTTGGACAGGAACCACAGCCCAAGAATCTATATGAGAATTTCCCTCTCACCTGCCCGTTCCCAGGGGCTCCCCCACGTCCTCCGACTCTCATCTTTCTCTAGAAGATTATTTCTCATCTGAAAACCACTGAAGAATAAGGAGTTCTTACCATAGCATTTCTAGGTTCTTATACTTTATCTCTTCATAGGGCTCCTTGGGTTGCTTCTTACTTTCAGCAGCTCTACGAGTGTCCACGTCCGAAGCAGACTGAGGGCCTTTCTGACTCAAGTGCGCAAGCTTCTCAGAAAGTTCACGAAGGCTGTTCAAGTCCACGTTAGGAAGACTATAGATGGGTGGGTGCTGATATGAAAATCTTTTCTCTTCTTCCTCTCTGTGTTGTCTTTCTTTATTAACATTCAGGACTGAGTGATACCCAGTAGGGTTTTTATATAGTACCCTGTCAAAAGTCTGTTTTGGAGGAGCAAATACATTGGAGGCTATTCTGAAATCGTGGCTCATGATGGCGTCCAGGTCCTGTAAATCACTGTCAGAGGTGTTCCACAGCACAGTCGACCCAGGCTGATTCGGGTTTTGTTGCTCTCTGGGAGTTCTATTCTGTTTTCCCTGGCTGACAACGAGCTCTTTAGTCATGAAGGCCTTCATGCCATTCTGGTGTTTGTGCAGTCTCCGAACTTTGGGCTTCGCAGGTCTCCCGGAAGGTTGGCGGCCATTTACTGACTCAGAGGATTGACCTCTTGGGAGATTGCTTGATTTTTTACCTTCATATTGAGAACAGTGTTCCTGATAATTCTAAAAAAAAAAAAAAAAAGATATTTTTGGTTAATGTAAAATTAGGAAATAAATACTTTTCAAAAGTTTCAGTGTTTTCTTGAAGTGGGGGCTGAAACTTCTAGGAAGGGGTCCATAGAATTGCAAGCAGATGAGGAGAGTGCGCAGAGTCCTTTTTATACTGCAGACAGGTGGAGGGTGAACAGGAGCGTGATTTCTCTAGGCAATTTTAGATTAAAAGCCTAGAAAGAAGCTGAGAGCTTAGAATGGACTTTGTATTAAGGACATGCCTTTGACTTAAAAGCTATAATGAGGAATATTACCAAATTGGGGTTGGGGAAAAGCTTTACCTGCAAGAAACTGCACAGAAAGACAGTATAAATTTACAACAGACTGCAAGCTTATTTGAACTGAATGAATAGTTTGAATATCCTAACCAGAAAACACCAATGATTCGATTTATTCACCAAATCCAAGTTCAGTATGAAACACAGCTCAGATTATCAACTCTGCTTACTTGTACAGGTCAGAAGGTAGAAACGACCTCTTCAGCAGATGAAACCAATTAGATTTTATTCAGGGGACTCTACAAGTCTGAGCTATGATAGGACAGCTGTGAAGCTACAATAGTTGTTTTGCTTCAGTCTCTTAATACAGCCTGTACTTAGGCAATCAAATATCTGGGGGAAAGATTTCAATTTCAGGACCATCTTTATGCTTTACAAAGACTAGTAACGACAAAATGTACTCTCGATACAATAGATAACACTGTGTAACTACATTGTGCGATGGCCATTTAGGAATCTTTCCTAAGTAAGAGTACCCATTACTCTGTCAAATATTAGCTGAGTTAAGAGGTCTCTGGAAAGGATGATTAAATGCTTATTGAAAACAGTGAGATGAACATATGCAACAATGTGTTCTAGAGCTATAGCATCATTTCTCTCCTTTTGAACACACATAGCTCCTCAGAAACCTCCATGGCCTGCATCTATATAACACTGATTGAAAAATGGAACAATTAGATGATTGGAGAAAATAATTCTTTTTTTTTTTTTTGATACAAGGTCTCGCTGTGCAGTTTGGACTTGTAGAAATTCTCCTGTCTCAGCCGCCCTTAGAGCTAGGATTACAGGTGTGTAATCTACCATGCCTGGTTCCAGCACCGGCACAGCATGTGGTACTGGGGATCAAACTTGGGACCTTGCACTTGCCAGGGAGG